CCGATATCCCTGCGTGGGAGAGACTCGCAGGCGCAGTCCCCCACCAGGCGCCCGCTCCTCCGGGACCAGTAAAGGGGACTCCAGGCTGTGGGTAACGCCAGGAGCGCTCTGGACTGGGGGCGGGAGTGGGGGTGGGGGAGGCGGAAAGGAAACCGGTGCTGGCTGGTCCAGGCTAAAGCGCGCAAGGGGAGGGCGCGGGGCTCACGGCTGGAATCCTGGCACTTTGGGTGGCCGAGGCAGGAGTATCTCCTGAGCCCGGGAGTTCGAGACCAGCCTGGCCAACACGGCGAGACCCCATCTTTACAAAAAACACACAAAAAAATTAGCTGTGCGTGGTGGCGTGTGCCTGTAATCCCAGCTACTCGGGAGGCTGAGGCTGGAGAATCGCTTGAACCCGGGAGGTGGAGGTTGTGGTGAGCCGAGATCGCGCCACTGACTCCAGCCTGGGCGACAGAGCGAGACTCTGTCAGTAAATAAATAAATGAATAAATAAACACAATCAATCTCGGTGACCCCTTCTCAACCGAACCCCCAGTCCGGCCCACAGCAGACATCCCGGAGACAGAACGCCCGCACTTTCCGGAGGGTCAGCCTGGACTGCGGGTCCCGGGGCGCCCGCCCCGCTTCCGCCCTCCTTCCGCCCTCCCGCACCCGCAGTCCCGCCGCAGGGCCCCGAAGCCACTCTGGGTGCGCAGCGCATCCCCGGGCGGCAGGAGCCGCGGCCCCGATCCCTCGCCGCCGCGATCCAGGAGAGGGGGCTCGTGGGGCGGGGACAGCCTGGCGGGGCCTCTGCAGCCCCGGAGCCGCCTCCGAACTCGCCGAACCCAGCTCCCAACCCGCCCGGAGGCTCGCGCACTCGGTCTCGGAGCCTCCCACCCTGAAGGACACGGCTCTCCCCAGACATCACTCAGCAACTGCCGGGCCTGGGCTCCGGACCGCGCCGGGTCGGTCACCTGCAGGAGCTCGCAGAGTCGGTCCGCCGCGTGGCGCGAGCGGGGTCCCCACCGCGGTGCCGGGAGCCGAGCGCTCCCGCTGGTCCGAGGCCTTGTCCGGCGGCGCTTCTCCCGGCCCCGGCGCGACCCCCAGGCGCCTCGCAAGGACACTGCCTCCAGAAGCCCCACAGGCCTCATTGTAAACTGCTTCAATTCAGCAAACTTTTCTTAAAATGACCAGGTACGCAGCCATAAAAAGGAGAAAAATCGTGACCTTTGCAGCAACGTAGGTGCAGCTAGAGTCCAAGTCCTAAGCCAATTAACGCAGGAGCGGGGAGCCAGACCCCTGAAGTTCTCACTACGCAGGAGCGGGGAGCCAGACCCCTCGAGTTCTCTATACGCAGGAGCGGGGAGCCAGACCCCTGGAGTTCTCACTAGGCAGGAGCGGGGAGCCAGACCCCTGAAGTTCTCTATACGCAGGGGCGGGGAGCCAGACCCCTGGAGTTCTCACTAGGCAGGAGCGGGGAGCCAGACCCCTGAAGTTCTCACTAGGCAGGAGCGGGGAGCCAGACCCCTGGAGTTCTCACTACGCAGGAGCGGGGAGCCAGACCCCTGGAGTTCTCACTACGCAGGAGCGGGGAGCCAGACCCCTGGAGTTCTCACTAGGCAGGAGCGGGGAGCCAGATCCCTCAAGTTCTGGCTTGTAAGCGTGGGGAGCGGGGGTAAAGGTTGGGAACCTATGGACACACAGATGGGAACATCGAACACTGGGACTCCAAAAGGGGAAAGCGGGGGAGGGGCCCAGGGCTGAAAACTACCCATCAGGTACCATGTTCACTGTTTGGTTAATGAGTACAGCAGAAGCCCAAACCTCAGCGGCACTCAGTACACCCAGGTAACAAACCTGCACGTGTATCCCGGAATCTAAAATTAGAAAAAAGAAAATCACCAGGCATTGGACTTGGCACCAGTGCTGGTGGGAGGAAACAGACCTTCATGTGGGTCTGCGTTCCTTTGAGGTGTTACTTTCCTGCTTGAAGGCCTGTAGGGTGTCTGTGTTTCCTACAAAACGAATCCTATTTCCTCCGTCCCTCTGCTCACCTTCTATTATTTATTTATTTTGAGGTGGTGTCTCGCTCTGTCACCCAGGCTGGAGTGCAGCAGTGAGATCTCAGCTCACTACAACCTCTGCCTCCTGAGTTAAAGCGATTCTTCTGCCTCGGCCTCCAGAGGAGCTGGGATTATAGGCAGCCACCACCAGGCCTAGCTAATTTTTGCATTTTTAGTAGAGATGGGGTTTCACCATATTGGCCAGGGTGGTGTCAAACTCCTGGCCTCAGGTGATCCGCCTACCTCGGCCTCCCAAAGTGCTGGGATTATAGGTGTGAGCCACCACACCCACCTTCTAAGCTTAGTGGCACCCCTCATCTGCCTCCAGTCAGGCTCCCTCTCAGCCTCTGCATTAATCGCCAGGCCTCATCCTGAACTCCTGTCTACAGCTGTTGATGTTTTTGAATTATTCTCTTCCTTACCCACCCAATTAGGCTTAATTCCTTCTCAAAGAAACCTGCTCGACTACCCTTGTTAGAGTCCATCTTTTCCTACTCTATTTCCCTAGACCCTTTTCGCTCTGCCCTGCCGTCTACCACAGTGTTGAGGTAAGTTACCTGTGATCTGAGAGAGCAAAATAGATGCCCCTTTATCAGCTAAAACAGATCCCAGAGATACAGAAACAAAAGTTATCTACTGGTTGAGAGTTCAGGGTGGCTTGCGTGGCAACTCCCTAAATTCTACAGCTATAGGAAAAAACCACACTTTGCTAAACTCCCTAACAATAGGAGCTATTTCAAGCAAATTATCAGACCTCTCCTAACTCTGAATTATAACCCAGACCACTACAACTCTGTTGGACAGAGGACCAGGCTCACAAACATTCTTTTCTGATAAGCCGCTGCAGATAAGCCAGTTTCAGCAGCTTATGGAGACTGAGAGCAAACTGTCTTGGCATCCTATAGTTTCCCTTTTGACACAAAGAACCAAATTCCACCAGTTTTCTTTTTTAAGACAGAGTTTTGCGCTGTTGACCAGGCTGGAGTACAGTGGCATGATCTCAACTCACAATTGTAATGTCTGTCTCCCAGATTCAAGTGATTCTCCTGCCTCAGCCTCCCAAGTAGCTGGGACGACCAGTGTATGCCACCACACCTGGCTAATTTTTGTATTTTTAGTAGAGACGGGGTTTCACCATGTTGGCCAGAACTCCTGAGCTCAGGTGATCCACCCGCCTTGGCCTCTCAAAGTGTTGGGATTATACGCATGAGCTACTGCGCCCCGCCCTACTTCATGTTAATGCTGAAACACCACGCCAAAGTGAACATGTGATATATGTTACATGTATGTATGTGCACTGTGCATGTGCTCAGAGTCCCTTATAAATATGTATAGCTTTTCCTCCCAAGTTTACTGAATAGTTCTGACTCTGTTGTGTGAAACAGTCCCTGTAAAGCATAAAACCCAACCTGCCCTTTCCATCTTCAAAGAGAGAGCACCTTCTGCCCATCCCGAAGACCGTCTCTTCCCATTTTGCAAACTGATATCCCCAGGAAAGCTCTCCTTTCTAGGTTTAGTCATCTTGACGGTCTTTTGGACGGTACCACTCAGGCACGGGTAGCCTCGGAGGTAGCAGCTACATCTTAGTCACTGCACTGTGCACGAGCAGATCATCTGAGTGTTTGCTGTTTACTAAAATGACTTTGCTTGAAAGTGCTGAAGATACAAACAGACAAAACCCATAGAAACCAACTGGGCTTAAGCTCTCTGCAGGCTGGATGCAGTGGCTGATGCCTGTAATTCCAGCCCTTTGGGAGGCCGGGAAGGGAGAACTGCTTGAGGCCAGGAATTTGACGCTGCAACGAACTGTGTTTCTGCCACTGTCCTCCAGCCTGGGTGACAGAGCAAAACCCTGTCTCTAAAACAACAACAAAATTATCTCTCTATGCAACTAGAATAATGAAATGGGCCTTTATAATCACCCAATCAATTTGATCCCTGTATAAAGCCTATTTGAATGATTTAGGCCCAGGAAATAATCTCCTGGGGCCCCGGTGCTGAGATGGGTCTGTCTGCACTGACCTCATTCACCGATTTCACACACGGGGATGTTGTCACGGGTGCGGCATTGTCATCACACAGAAGCCTGCTGTGGCTAGCTCTCCTTCCCTTGCAGGAAGTGGAAGCCATCTATTTCAGCTCCTGTCAAACCACAGATACGATTCTTCAGTGGACGGCCCTTGCCCTTTATTAAAATATAGTAATCATCATTTTTAACACTTTATAACGGTAAGAGTCTCTTGCTTTATTACGTGCCATGCCATACTCAGAAGTTACTCCATGAGGCAAGTTATTTTTGTCTTACACAGATGTGAACCGAAGTCTAGAGAAGGCCACACAGCTAGTGGGGAGCCGGGCTCCTGGTCCCTTATTTAAGGTCCCCTCCCACACCTGGGGTAATATAGATGATCCTATACAAAATTACCCATTCAGCCATCAAAATATCCACAAATGCTATTCTTCATATAATACATGGGAGTTTTTAGCTGCAGAATTTAAAGGAGTCCAGGACTTGAAAGATAGGAGATTCTGTTGGAATTATTTTTCTTTTGTACAGTTTTAAATATATATCATAATACATCATAGTTCCATTTTAAAAGTGGTGAAGATAATTTAGAGGTGATAGCGGACCCAAAGCCTGCCAAGTGTCACTTTTTAAATCGGTTCCCAGAAACAACTCACACACACATCTTAAACTGTATGGAAATGATGACACTGAACTGACTTTGGCCCGTAAAACTACAGTTTCAGCTGGTTTAACCTGATAGAAGTATTAGGTACTGGAGTTTACAGCCTTAGTCAGTTTTCTTTGCCTGCACCTTTGTTCATTTTGCAGGTGGGGTGGAGCCACCACTGCGGCCCTAAGACTGCTTTAGTGATGGGAGCGGTTCCCTGGGTAATATAAGAAGCCTTCTCCCTCTGTGTCTCTCCTTGCCAAGCGCTGCACATGGCTCTTACCTTAGTAGGAGGCTCACGGCGGTTACGCAGGGTCACAGGCACGTGTTGCCTGCAGTGATGAGGCCTATGCTTACCGTAGTGATGAACCCGTCTTCCCAGTGAAATTTGTAACCTGAAACCAAATAAAGCTTTAGGATTATGAAATCTCTTTCACTCTCCCTAGCTCCTCTCCACACACCCATCACAGTTTGCCCCAGTTGCAGATAATATATGGTAGTTATTTTATTTATTTATTTGAGATGGAGTTTCCCTCTTGTTGCCCAGGCTGGAGTGCAATGGCACGATCTCAACTCACCGCAACCTCCGCCTCCTGGGTTCAAGCAATTATCCTGCCTCAGCCTACCGAGTAGCTGGGATTACAGGTGTGCGCCACCATGCCCAGCTAATTTTTAGTATTTTTAGTAGAGATGGGGTTGCACCATGTTGACCAGGATGGTCTCAATCTCTTGACCTCGTGATCCACCCACCTTGGCCTCCCAAAGTGCTGGGATAACAGGCGTGAGTCACCGCACCTGGCCCTAGATGTTTGATCATTGTCTAGATGAGTGGCTACCAGGAAACCTGAAGCTGAACAGAGCTGCATTTTTACTTAACAGTGGGTGAAGGAAAGGGAGGGGGAGAAGGGCCCTCATATTTAGGTTGAGCACTGTTTACCAGAACTTGTGCCACATTCCACAGACTCTGTCTTTAAGGGGTCAGAGCTGGGTGAGATCAGCATGTTCAAGCTTGGGAAACGTAAGAAACTTGCCTCAAATCATTCCATCCATGAGAAGTACAATTAGATTTAAACTCATTTCTTGGCACTCTTATGCATTTTTTAGAGGGAGTGCCAATTTGCAGAAGACTTGGAAGATAATTTTATCAACAACTTTTTTTTTTTTTTGAGACAGGGTTTCACCATGTTGACCAGGATGGTCTCGATCTCTTAACCTTGTGATCCACCTGCCTCGGTCTCCCAAAGTGCTGGGATTATGGGCATGAGCCACCGTGCCTGGCCCCAAGATCTTTATTCATTCTCTTTCTCCCAGTTATTCCACTAATGTAAGGTTATCTTAAGAAAATAGTTTAAAATACAGGGGAAAATGTATTGCATAAAATTCTTCTTGAGAGAGCTGATCATCATAGGGAGAAATTGGAAAGAATCTAATAGCCAGCACGAGGGCTAAGTAAGCAGTGAACTATAGAACTTTCGATGAGGAAATATTGCATTGCCAGTGAAAATACTGTTTCCAAAAAACTTGTAATAACATGAGAAAACGTTACTGTAAAAAGGCTAAGAATAGAAAGATATTAGGACAGCTACGATGATATATGTATAATCTATGTCTATATCATGTATTACAATCTCAAGTATTTTAATAATATGCACAGAGAAGGACACAGAATATTTCACATCAAAATGTTCAACAGCCAATTGTTCAGTTTCCATGAAGCTGTGCGGTTCTGAGTTAGTTTCTTAATCCTGAGTTCGAATTTGATTGCACTGTGGTCTGAGAGACTGTTATGATTTCCGTTCTTTTGCCTTTGCTGAGGAGTGATTTACTTCCAATTATGTGGTCAGTTTTAGAGTAGGTGTGATGTGGTGTTGAGAAGAATGTATATTCTGTGGATTTGGAGTGGAGAGTTCTGTAAATGTCTATCAGGTTTGCTTGTTCCAGGTCTGAGTTCAAGTCCTGGGTATCCTTGTTAATTTTCTGTCTCATTGATCTGTCTAATATTGACAGTGGAGAGTTAAAGTCTCCCACTATTATTGTGTGGGAGTCTAAGTCTCTTTGTAGGTCACCAAGAACTTGCTTTATGTATCTGGGTGCTCCTGTATTGGGTACATATATATTTAGGATCATTCACTCTTCTTGTTACATTGATCCTTTTACCATTATGTAATGTCCTTCTTTGTCTCTTTTGATCTTTGTTGGCTTAAAGTCTATTTTATCAGAGACTACGATTGCAACTCCTGCTTTCTTTTGCTGTCCATTTGCTTAGTAAATCTTCCTTCCTTTGCATTGGGTTAGGACATGTTCATTATTTCAAGCCTATGTGTATCCTTGCATGTGAGATGGGTTTTCTGGATACAGCACACCGATGGGTTTTGACTTTCTATCCAATTTGCCAGTCTGTGTCTTTTGATTGGGCATTTAGCCTATTTGCATTTAAGGTTAATATTGTTTTTCTTTTGTTTGTTTTTAAGGTTAATATTGTTATGTGTGAATTTGATCCTGCCATTTTGATGCTAGCTGGTTGTTTTGCCCATTAGTTGACACAGTTTCTTCATTGTGTTGATGCTCTTTACTATTTGGTACATTTTTGGAGTGGCTGGTACTGGTTGTTCCTTTCTATATTTAGTGCTTCTTTCAGGAGCTCTTGTAAGGCAGCCTGGTGGTGATGAAATCTCTGAGCAATTGCTTGTTCATAAAGGATTTTATTTCTCCTTCACTTATGAAGCTTGGTTTGGCTGGATATGAAATTCTGGGTTGAAAGTTCTTTAAGGATGTTGAATATTGGCTTCCACTCTATTCTGGCCTGTAGGGTTTCTGCTGAGAAATCCACTGTGAGTCTGATGGGCTTCCCTTTGTGGGTGACCCGACCTTTCTCTCTGGCTGCCCTTAGCATTTTTTCCTTCATTTCAACCCAGGTGAATCTGATGATTGATTATGTGCCTTGGGGTTGCTCTTCTTGAGGAATATCTTTGTGATGTTCTCTGTATTTCCTGAACTTGTATGGTGGCCTGGCTTGCTAGGTTCAGGAAGTTCTCCTGAATAATATCCTGAAGAGTGTTTTCCAGCTTGGATTCATTCTCTCCATCACATTCAAGTACACCTATCAAACGTAGATTTGGTCTTTTCACATAATCCCATATCTCTTGGAGGGTTTGTTCATTTCTTTTCCCTCTTTCTTCTCTAATCTTGCCTTTCTCATTTTATTTCATTGAGTTGATCTTCAATCTCTGATATCCTTTCTTCTGCTTGGTCAATTTGGCTATTGAAACTTGTATATGCTTTGCGAAGTTCTTGTGTTGTGTTTTTCAACTCCATCAATTCATTTATATTTTTCTCTAAGCTGTTTATTCTCGTTAGCATTTCATCAAAGCTTTTTTTCAAGGTTCTTAGTTTCTTTGCATTGGGTTAGGACATGTTCATTTAGCTCAGAGAAGTTTGTTATTACCCACTTTCTGAAGCCTGTTTCTGTCAATTCATCAGACTCATTCTCCATCCAGCTTTGTTCCCTTGCTGGTGATGAGTTGCAATCCCTTGGAGGACGGGAAGCATTCTGGTTTTGGGTGTTTTCATCCTTTCCGCGCAGGTTTCTTCCCATCTTTGAGGATTTATCTACCTGTGGTCTTTGTAGCTGGTGGCTTTCAGATGGGGTCTCTGAGTGGACGTCCTTTTTGTTGATGATGAAGTTATTTCTTTCTCATTTTTAGTTTTCCTTCCAACAGTCAAGCCCCTCTGATTTAGGACTGCTGGTGGTCCACTCCAGACCCTGCTTGCCTGGGTATCACCTGTGGTGGCTGCAGAACAGTCAGGGTTGCTGCCAGTTTCTTCTTCTGCTGTCTTTGTCCCAGAAGGATACCCATCAGATGTCAGCCTGAGCTCTCCTTTTTGAGGTGTCTCTTTGGATATATGGGGGTTGGGGAGCTGCTTGGAGAGACAGTCTGTCCTTTATAGGAGCTCAAGTGCTGTGCTGGGAGCTCTTGTTCCATTCAGAGCTGCTGGGCAGGTATGTTTAAGTCTGCTGCAGCAGAACTCATTACTGCCTCTTTTCCCACATGCTCTGTCCTGGGAATGTGGGGCTTTACTTATAAGTTCCTGACATGCTGCTGCCTTTTTTCAGAGATTCCCTGCCAGCAGAGGTGTTGCTGAGCTGCTGTGGGCTCTTCCCAGCTGCTGTGAGAACTTCCTTGCGGTTTTGTTTATAGAGGTATAGTTAGAACTGCCTCAGTAATGGTGGACTGCCTCAGTAATGGCAGACTGCCTTGGTAGTGGTGGACTGCCTCGGTTGTGCTGGATGCCCTTCCCTCCACAAAGCTGGACCATCCTGGGTCCAGCTGAGCATGCTGTGAAACTCTCAGTCCAGAGTGTTTCAGATTGCTGGTCTTCGTGGGGTGGGACCCACTGAGCCAGATCACCTGGCTCCCTGTTTCAGTCCCCTTTTTTATTTCAGTTGAATGGGTGACTCTGTTTCCCAGGAGTTCCAGGCACCAGTTGAAACAGCCACCCAGATTTGTGTGAGTTTTTGTGTAGAGACCCACTGCGCCAGCTGAAACAGCCATGCTGGAAACTCGTCGAACTTTTCCACCCAGGAATCTCCTGGTCTATGGGCAGTAAAAACTTGTTTGGGAATGTGGTGATCACTCACCTCTGCATTCTCACTGGGAACTGCACTCCAGAGCTGTTCCTATTCGGCCATCTTGGGTTCTCCTAAAGCAAATATTATTAGAGCTAAAGAGAGAAACAGACCTCAATACAATAATAGCTGGAGACTTCAAAACCCTGCTTTCCAAATGCCCATCGATGATAGACTGGACAGGGAAAATGTGGCACATATACACCATGGAATATTATGGAGCCATCAAAAACGATGAGTTCATGTCCTTTGTAGGGACATGGATGAACCTGGAGAACATCATTCTCAGCAAACTGACATAAGAACAGAAAATGAAATACCGCATGTTCTCACTCATAGGTGGGTGTTGAACAATGAGAACACGTGGACACAGGGAGGGGAGCACTACACACTGGGGTCTGTTGGGGAGAATAGAGGAGGGACAGCAGGGGGTGGGGAGCTGGGGAGAGATAGCATGGGGAGAAATGCCAGATATAGGTGAAGGGGAGGAAGGCAGCAAATCACACTGCCACGTGTGTACCTATGCAACAATCTTGCGTGTTCTTCACATGTACCCCAAAACCTAAAATGCAATTAAAAAAAACAAAAACAAAAAAACCTACTTTCAGCATAGGATAGATCTTCCACAGAAAATCCATAAGGAAACATTGAACTTCACTTCTACTATAGACCAATGGACCTAATAGATATTTACAGAACGTTGCCTCCAAAGGCTGCAGAATGCACAATACTGTCCTCAGCACATGGATTACATTCTCAAGGATAGGC